ATTTTTCCGCAATCTAATAATTGCTGAATTCTATTTCAACGAAGACGGGATTATTTAGAAATTCCTTTAAAGATAGAATATAAATATATAGAAAAATCCATGTTTAATTAGAAAAAGTATATAGAAAATCCATGTTTAATTAGAAAATGTTGGCTATATACTGTGAATGTTTCTAATTGAACTGACAAGTATCCTCTTTCGGACGCCCATCAGGGAATGCATTTGAAAAATTGCAAAATTAACGCTTGGACGTTACGATTCAAATTTATCTGATAAAAGTACGCTTCTATGAAAATTGCTCTCTCCTTTCCATTGCACTCAAATATAATTGCGATGGCGACCCAAAGCAGAAGTGCTTAAATCAGCATCACTTTCCCCGCTGAGTTAGCGGAGAACCGAAAATCGCTAGTACCCAAAATAACCCCATCACGTCATCCAATGCCCGAGCTTCCTGTGATAAGATCCCGGCTTAGCAAGCACCTCTCCCACCGTATTTTCACACTTTCCTACTAGTCTATTTTCATTCTAACTTTCTCTTTAACAACGTCCCTTCCCCTCCTATCTTCCTCTCGAAATGAGAGGAACAAGTCTTGACACAAAATTACGAAACTCCAATACACAATTACAATCACCAAAATCACTCCAAAGAATTTGCGGCAGCTGATGCTTTCACAAGCTGTGAAGTGAGAAAACGTTACGTTGCTACACAATGAAATTGCCCCGAGACCGTGGTTCGATCTACGATCTTCAAAACGTTTAATGAGCATTACAAGTGCATTGAAAACTCTTCCCTGTGAAGAAGCGGCGAGCGACCGAACGATTTTGCTAATTTACACGCTCAAAAACACTTTACATCCACAGTCCTCTGCTTGCTACTATTTTATTATTTGAAAACTATCCATATGACAAACGCTGAAAATTTGCTTCGACGTCAAATTGTCGCAATCTCGAATGTAATTTGATTCCAGCTTCAAAACGAACCCAAAAAGAAACTAGTAATAAGATTCCTCAATGATGCTTTACTCCGCCAAAATAGTACGCGTCTCGTAATTGCAGTAAATTACGTTGTAAATGCGTAAACAACAAGAGGATGTTATATTCAGGAGGGAGGACCTGAGCCCCTTCTGTTGTTGTGGCAAGGAGCATTCGCCTGCGAGGCTAGCCGCCCTGCACAGGCGTGAATCCGGCTCAACGGCGCATTCCTCGGGCAGACCCTGCCCCCCCCCTCCACCATTTCTGAAGGCCGCGCGCGCCAGACGCAGCGCCCAGGTAGCAGCCCCCTCCCCTTCCATCGGTCGACTTCTCCGCACTCACTCCCACGGCGCGCTATGTGCTCCTCGCCCGCACTGGCCAAGCGGAGCCTCCTCGACCCCACAGCAGGGGTGAAGAAGGGGATGACGCCAGCTGACAGGCCCCCGAAATGTAATATACGCGATATTCAATAGAAATGGAATGTTTACATACACAATTTGGAATACTGACTAGAGAACAATCAAATCTGAAGTGTGTTGACCGACTCCTAACAGAGGATTGACGTACCATGCAGCTTCCTAGTACTCTGCGAAATACTCCCTTTATTTCTCGCGCAAAGACCAGAACGTCTAATTAAGCCTCCATTCCTTAACGCGCATCCCCTCCCCAAACTCTGGCTGCACGCGCCTGGGGATTTGAGGCCCGGCGGCGGTTTGCCGTCTTTTCGGTTAGAGTAGTGGGTGAAGCTGGAGGAGGGCGACGGAGGGGGCGGGGCGGCGTGAGACGAACACCCTGCGCGCATGCGCCTCTCGGTCCGGTCTCCCGGGGCGCGCCTTCGTCTCACAGACGCTGCCGCCGCCGCCTCCGCCTTCCCTCTCGCCGTCTGGCCGACGGTTATTCTCGGCGCCCGGCTGAGACGGAGGCGGCAGCGGGATTCCACATTGCGGAAAAAAACGGGACACAGCCCACGCTCGGGCTTCTTACGAACGTGATGCTCACGTGACCAACTCTTCGGGCGTAATTCGCTTCTAGTTTAGATCATCCTTCGTATTAAACAATTTTAGCGACAACGTAATAGTTTCAAGGAGTCTCAGCCGATCATTCACTGTTATGCCTTTGAATATAAGCATTGCCGCGACTGATCAGGCAAGACTATCAATTGAGTGGTTCACAATAAAACCGATTACTCGCGATTCATTCAATGACAATTTTAACGTAAACTGCCTTTTGGTCGGGACGGAACTACCTGGCAGCCGGGGATGACTGGCGTGGGCGGCGAGTACGCCACCTGCCCGGCCTTCGCCCGTCGCCGCGCGGGGGCGATCAATGCATCGCGCCCGCCACCCGACGCGCCGCGCGGGGGCTGCGTTGCCAGGTCGCCATTCATCGACGGCGCGAGGCACCCCCGGCGAAAGGCCGAAGGGCGCCGTCACCCCCGGAGCGGAGCTCCCCCCAGTCACGTGACCCGCACGAGCGCCGCCGCGCGCGTCCACCCCCACCCCCCGTCTTGTCGCGCCGCGCAGCGTACAACCAATTGTACTACATCTACGACCGAAAACAACCATTATAAGCATTCCATCAAACGCTTTGATACAACCCACGGTTAGTACCTACAGCCATTTCATGTACCCTGCTTGACCAATCTAATTAGAGCATATCATACTGGCATTTCAGCAATGACCAATCACAAGAGTGGTCTGGTCAAAGTGAACCGCTTTCGAACAGGAGTCTGTCCATCCCGAGGAACCGCGTCCCGCCAGCCTCCCTGGGCAACGCCGGCTGCACCCTCTGCGCCCGCATCGCTTCGCGAATCGATCGCCGCCCCCGGCGACGCGAGGGTCCGCCTGCGAGCCCCGTGCGCGCGCAGGAACGGGGACAAGGCCGGCAGGTCGCCCGCACACGCGCGCGCCCGCGGATTATTCGCCACCGCCGACTCCGCGCACGCGTGCTCAAGCGTCTCCATTCAGCGAGGCTCGCGATCGATGCCATGCCACGCCACGCGCCCGCGGTCTTTCCGCACGCCTCCGCGCGCACTGCTTTTCCAATTCGTTTGGAAATCGCGCCGGTGGGCGGCTTGAAAATCGATTTTGACAATTTCAGACTACTAGAAAATGGGTTTTAAAAAAATTGCGATAGCTGAAGCAGAAATAACTAGGTGGCCTCTTTCTATGTTAAATATAATACAATACGAGAAAAGGGGGAAAGGGCGAAAGAGATCGGTGTAACATGGACGCAAGCACTCGCGCGGCGTCTGCGAAATCGATACGCCTCCGCGTTTCGCACTCCTACTAAACCACACATCGCGACTCGTCATTGGTCGGGGCCCACAAAGACCCCAAATCTGCGCCCGGGACGCAACTGCTCGGGCCCTAAGCCGCCGCCGCCGCTCCTGGCAACACCGGTGCGACCAGGCGCTCCCAACGGCCTCTGGCGGTGTGGCCAGGCACTTGTCGGCCGCCGCCGCCGGCGCTAGCGAAAACTATGGCCACATGGACCAGGCCAGATCTCGGCAAACAATTTAGTAAATACTAGCATCTTAAAAATAAACGTTACCGATTCATACTACAATTTAACATCCCGAAAATCACTTAATACACGAACCACACTCTCACTAAAGACATTCGCTTCAAGTAACCACCATATACATAAAAGATCAAATATGTTCGACTAGCAACCATTGACTTATGTTCACATCCAAACAAGTAACTACGAAGACTCGGGTAACTACTGGGATACTGTATAAATCCCGACATGTTCGTGGTTTTAGCCACACATCCACTACTCAGGCTGTCAGAAATTCATGCATGTAATGGCAGCACAACAGCAACCAATGGTTAACGGCATCAAATATGTCACTGCTACACATCAGTGCTTCCCACACTAATATAGTGTCGAACATAACAGGCACTACATAAACAATTTGCGTAATAAATATGTGTGAACAAAATTACACCTAGCGGCTGAATAAAAATACATCATAAAAACAAACTTAACAATATCATCAATAATCCAAGTTGTAGTAACTTGACAGAGACAGTAAAAGAACGACGATTTGAAACAAATGTCACTTCACAATTTCACAAAAATTTCAATCTATATCAACAAATACAAATTTCATTAATGGATAAGAAAAAAAGGTAATACGTTTATTAATTCGTAAACTAGTTCCTATCAATTCACTACCAATGAATTTGGGTTTTCTACGACAAAACACGATCTAGAAATATTAGTTAACATCGTTTACAATATTTAATCGAGCCTTTATGCCCAATTGCACGTAGCCATCAAACGTAGCATTACTCAATTTACGAGAAATATATCAATTAATACCTTACTATATTTGGTTCAACAATGTGCACAACACTTTTATAGGCACAAATCAGTAAGAAACATGATCAAACAACAAGAAACTTGCAAAATCTCTCAGATAAAAGGTTGTGTCACCTAAGGTCTATACATGGCACAAAGCAACGACGCCTGGCGCTGAACACAGGGAATGGCCGGATTTTCCCGCAGAGAAGCAAGCAATTTCAACCTTTACATTGATAAAACAAAATTATAAACATTAACAGAGAACCAGACACAAACGAACTATTTGACTTGACCCCCTTACAGAATCTCACGTTTTCTCCATGTACGCACAATGGAGACGTTTCAGACGCCGAATTTTTCACTTCAAATATAACTCGAATAAGATGATAATTCGCCATGACAATTACAAAAATTTCACGCAAACAACTTTAACATCACTCGAGATACCTACTTATCACAAATATCAGTTTAATATAGCCGCAATAAGAACTGAAATGCTGTTAACAACTTACCTTTTCAACACAGGTGACGGCAAGATTCAAGAGCTTGACTGCGCAGATTTATGGCGCACGCTTCGTCAACAGAGCTGTAAAATTCAACTATTTACAATATTCAACTAGAAAATAGCATAATTAATAACTTTATAAAACATAAAATTAAATGTTATAAATTAACATAACAAAATATATAACAATTAAGTCGTTTGTATTATGTTAAGATTATTGAAAGTTATACGTAGTGAATTCAGACTTCCGTATTTGTTGTCATTGAGTGGATACGGCGTAGACTTACAGTAGCAGAGAAAAACGAAATTATTATATTTTAAGACGATTATGTATTGTCACATTTCATTCCTTAGGCCTGGACTATTATTTACCCCTCTGCATTTCATTACTAAGCACAAAAACCGATATTTTTCTTTTGGATAAACCCTGATATTAAGAAAACTAATGATCAACTGACATCGGAAAGTTAGCGGTGTCGTCTATTGCATTGCATGTCTATTATCTCGTTTCTATGAACAGCTGATCGAAAATGAGAGGTTTTCGTATGTCAAAATGTAAAGAGGTGATATAGTTATAACAATCCATATAAATAATCTAAACTCGATATACTTCAATCATAAAATTTTGAAATTTGTGTATAAATGGCTGCTGTAACCGGAGGAACTTCTGGTTCGGGAACATACAACTTTAAAGTTGTTTTGCTGGGAGAAGGTTGTGTAGGGAAGACGTCAGTTGTTTTGCGATATGTTGAAGACAAATTCAATGACAAGCACATAACAACATTACAGGTTTGTCAAGAACTTAGTATCTTTATTTTTCTTTCTATAGAACGACTGTTGCCGATGTTTGAATTGATATACATAATTATTGTTGTAGGCGTCGTTTCTCAATAAAAAATTAAATATAGCAGGCAAAAGAGTGAATCTCTCTATTTGGGATACTGCAGGACAAGAAAGATTTCATGCCTTAGGACCCATATATTACCGAATGTCAAATGGAGCTGTTTTGGTATACGATATTACAGATGAAGATTCCTTTCAGAAGGTACATTATTTCAATTTCATATGGAATTCAAACCTTAAAAAATATTTTTATAATCATATCTATTTCATTTACAGGTCAAAAACTGGGTGAAGGAGTTAAAGAAGATGCTTGGTAGTGATATATGCCTAACAATAGCTGGAAATAAAGTTGATTTGGAAAAGCAAAGAACTGTTGCTGTAGAGGAAGCAGAGGAGTAAGTTGTGCTGACTTTAATTTATCTCCTGATGGGAAAATTTTAATGACCATTGCTGCATTGTCTTGCTAGATGTTTTGCAATTTATTAGTGTTCAATATTTAAATATCAGTTGTGTTTCTCAGAATTTGTGGTTGAAGGTGGCGTAGTAACTGATCAATTTGTTGAATGCTAATTTAACTATTTTTAGGTATGCCAAATCGGTGGGAGCAGTGCATTTTCACACGTCTGCAAAAATGAATCGAGGTATTGAAGAAATGTTCCTGGAGTTGAGCCAACGCATGATGGAGCGCGCACAGGTGCAGGAGTCTGACCAACAGCGTGTAAGCTCACTTGGACGTGTTGGGAGTACACGGCGCAATGTTGTGGTTGTGGAGGATGAGGAGGACCAGATGCAAACCAAGAGCAGCTGCTGTGGGGGGGTCATAGCATCCACATCGTCCTAACTGATCTAAGGCTGCGCTGTTGTGGTTGGCAGCAAGTGGTTGTGCTAGCTTCCCTGGCAGGCATTGTGCAATGCATTGGCTTAAGTAAGGGGGCAGTTTGACCCAAACAATATGTTTGGAAGAGGTTGGCTCACTTAATCTTTTTCTTTCTTTCGGCGTGGTTGGGGGGAGTTGGGAGCACTCCAAGAATGGGTGGCACAACTGTAGCTCTGCCGCTACTGCAGCGCGAGGCTGTATTCTGGCCAAGTGGTTTGAGCTTTTGTCCTGGACCATTTGCAGTGCTTGTCCTCATGTTTATGCAGTATATGCAGCAGAATATGCTTTTAAATGCAGTCTTTTTTTTTGGATTGGAAGATAACAGACACCTTGCTGGCGAATAATTTTAATTTTATATTTTATGCTAATTTTTTGTTAGTGTGCTCATTTTGAAGTTAAAACAAATAATTCAAAACAGGCAGGTTATCTTGTAGGTATATATTTTGAAACTTTCTTTCCAGTTTTATTTCATTTGATTCAGTTATGAAATTTTTGTAAAGATTAAGTAGTTTTAATGAAGTCTGATAAATATCCTCGTGTATTTGCATTAAATATCAAAATAACCTTACAAATGTTTCTTTTGGGAGTTCAGTATATTGTTTAATACTTGGTTTAAAGTTTAGTTTGTTGTATTAGATTTGAATCCTGTTTCTCATGGTAATTTTTGATTATGAAGAATGAGGAAATGTTTCGTAGAGGTTTGGTGTAATTTGATGATGCAGTTTTAAATGAAAATTACTGCCTCAGTGCAATTGAAGATTTTTAAATTTCTTTTCTTTGTTAACTTGTATAATCTTGTAATTTGGTTGTTTAAATATGAAGTGCCATGTGAATGGAATTATGGTTTGGTATTCAATGGTGGTTCGTAAATAATGCATCAAGAAAACCTAGAATAGCAGTATTGTAGATCTAATGAAATTATGTACATATTCAACACTTAAAATACAATTAAATGTAAAGAATCATGTATATTGCTAGACTGATGTGTTGCGTGCATTCAGGCCGTTGATTTATGTTCATTTGAGCAGTTTGAAGTGAATTACAACCTTGGTGGGACTCAAAGAAATACAATAGTGTCAAATTGCTCAGGGATTGGCAAACTTGTGCAGCCTATGGAATACAGCCTTGCCTTTCACTCTATATACATAATGTTCATAAAGTAAGTGTACATATACTATTTACATGTAGCTTTGACTATATTCTTGTCACATCATTTGACAAGTGTCTGAAATAATGAAATGTTAATTTTTGTTTTTGAAGCTAATGAATACACATAAAGAGTGTGTGTGATTGTTGTATAGGTTTGACAGGGTGTTGGAAATGAATGTAGGAGCCGAAACTACTACACTAGTCGTTACTTTCTTGTAATGGTTGCTCTATTGTATTCTCATTTCTTACATTTTCTGGTCATGTTTATCCTGTCAAACCTGTGCAAAGTGTAATATGAAATGAATAAATATTTATACATAAAATGTTTATAAATAGTTTTTAATAGATAATCATTTTACATATAAACATTTCAGTATATGGCAGTACTTTTTTTAAACACTACTGGGGCCATCAAATTCTAATAAAACTGCAGATTTTGTTGTGCTGGTTTGAGATTCTGAAACATGGTTCACTTTTTTAAAAGTTCCCACTCCTTACCTCAGTGATGTCAAACTGACCACCATCAAGAGACCACATGCTGTCTACAATGTGTGTTTTTGTAGTTGTGTAACCATCCATTAAAATGCTATTCACTAATAGTATCTTCAATTCTTTATAGGTAAACAAAATGTCTAAATTAAAATTCCAAAAAATTAATCGTGAACAAAGTGTTGACTCACAAGTATCAATTAAATGTGTCTTGTCCACTACTATTCAATGTATCTTGTATGTTATATTTTTAATTTCTTGTGCATCTAGTTTCAAGAAAGTTATGTATTGCTGCAAGAAATAGTGTGAATTATTTTGACAGCAAAACTTGTTTTGTGGCTTGTTGATTCTGAGAGTGGATTTTAGTTACTCGTTTACAAGGTATAGTCAGAATCTATGTTTCAATGTACCTTACTCTGAAAAAGTGCTTTCAAAATGTCTTGTTATACACAAGATTTCACCAAAGTGAGTTTTCTGTGATTGATGTGGCTGATGTTGCAGCCTCTCATATTTGAAATGGGTATTTGAATATTTTGGACAACTTGACATGAAGCTTGTGGGTCATTTTCAAAAGTGGCTCCAAATTCATGTGAATGTTTTGCTTCATAGGGCAAATTATGCTTATAAAAATGGCACATGTCTGACTTTCAGTAAAATCTTTGAATATTCAAAAATTGTCAAAATTTCAAAATTTTTGGACCTCCTGACCTACATCATCATAGATGTTTTTTTTTTCTCTTAAGAAAATCAGTTTTTAAAAATTAGATATTTAAATAATGACGTGTACAATTTTTTGAAAAAAATCAATTCTGCATAATTTTGAGTAAAAATATGGCAATTGAAAAAAAATTAAATGAAATTTTTTGAAAAATACCTTTTTTTGCTTTCTTGCTTGAATAGAGCAACATTTGCTTAATAATATGGCATAAGTCCAATTTACATTAGCTTGGAATTTGAAAAAATGCAAAAGGTTTTTTTTTTCTTTTCTTTTTTTTTTCCCCCCTTCAAATCTTTTCTATATTGTGAATATTGAAGCCAGATAGTTTTTAATCTAACCCATTTCCCTATATTAGATCATATCCTTTTTTTTAAGAATCATTAGTCTTTGAGAGAATTTCTGAGATGTGAGAACCAACTGTATTATACACTGAGAAAACTTTTCATATACAAACCATTTGTAGATAGATCATTTGATATAGCATGGACATGAACTGAAGGTCTCTGGTTAGAATTCTGATACCCAGAAGACTTTTTTGATTTGTTTTGTTTCATTTCTTTAACATTTTTGAAAGTACAGAACTCAATATTCTAAATGATAATGGCATTTTTGCAATGAAATTTAAACTTTTGAATTTTCAGAAATTAAAGATAAGAATATTTTTTCCAAGTCTCTTGGAAATTGTTTCATTAAGAGATTTTCAAGAGAATGTTGAAGTGTTAGAAAGATTACATGTTGCAACATTAAAATATTATTAAGCAATTGGAATGCATACATGTGTGTATGTAGTGTTGAAGACCACTTCTTTATGGTAGAATGTAGTAATATTTTAATTTACTTTACCTTTACTTACACTACCTTTTAATTACCAGTCAATTCAGTTAGTAAAAATAACAAATTGAAGTTTTTAGTTCAGTAAAATGTAATATTTCAAATAATTTTAATTATTGAAATTTTAAACAGACTAAAGTGATGTAATTGAATAATGAAATGCAGCATGTATACATTTTCTTTTAGAGAAATTTTTCAAACCCAAAATGAGGTTGACATCCCTACATCACTGTATCTTTGTAGTAAAGCATTTTAAAGTATTTCAAGTTAAAAAAAAAGTTATATGAAAAAGTAAAGCAAGTGGGTTTAAATTGCATTATTTTTGTTTACTTCTCTGTGAAGATATATTGTTGGGCAAATTTCTCTGGAAAGGATGAATGCCTAAATTAATAAAATATTACTTTTTAAAATATTTATTATCAGATGTACATATAATGTAATGAATATTTACTAGTACAAGTTGTATAGGTTTCAGAAAAAGGAAGTACTTAGTATGTACTAGTTGAGATCGCAATCGAATATGCTTCCCTTTAGCTGATAGGTAAGCAATATATTTTCGACAAGGGGTGTACAAATACGGGACAGAAAAAATATATATATATATCCTTTTGCAAAAATCAGGATTTTTTCACATTTATTTTCTAAAATGTCTGTGGCTGCTAGGCATAATAACTAAAGGTGAAAGAGTTAATTCATTGTTTCATTTATTTTATGGAAATTCCATTCATTTATCACATTTATTTAGTAACTATAAATTTCAACTCATAAGTTAAGTCCTATGTGCAAAATTGCCTACTTTTAGAAGCTGGTCCCTCTAAGTGGCTTTTCTATTTCACCCTTCTTGTCTAGCAACCACATGCAAAAACTACCAATGTTCCATGTCGATTATACATGTGCCATACAAGTACAGAACACACAATATTCTTTTACGTTGATTGAATTTTTTTGAACACAATAATGAGATAATTTTTTATATTACATAATTGGAAGTAACAGATCAATATCTTTCTCTGCTTTGAATGACACCATAAAATCAATAATTTTTCTTTTAGAAGCTTGTGAAATTTACATATGTTTATTTTTGGTCCCTGTTCTATTAGTAAGTTTGTTATATTTTTTGCAACTCAAATTACAACTGAGTTGAATGGCGATAAATATCCATTATAAATTCAGCTCCACAAATGCCCACATTTTGATCATTCTTTTTTAAAGCATTATATTGACAAAAGTCTTTCCACTAATTAGACACAAATTTGGTTTAAGTAAAAATTGCTACACATTTCAATTCCATTTACAGAAAATAATTTTACATGAAAGTATTATCACAATTTTTGTGCTTTAGGAAGGGCTTACACATTCTTTCCAGGTGTGAGGTAAAACTTGCCACTGGTAAGAATTAAGAAATTATATTTTTTGTGTCATTGTTTCAATCATTCATTCACACTTAAATTTGGTTACAGGGTCTAATTTTAAGATTGAGTAATGTATAAAAAGTAGGGATATTTAGTCAATGTATAATGAGGTCTATTTTCTTAATATATTTTTGAAGTACATCAATAAGTGACTGAACGAAGAAGCTTATAGTTTGGCTACTTACTCCTCCATGTTTCATGATATCATTAGATCTTCCTGCAGGGGTTAAGAGATGATTTGTTGTATTAGAGAGTGATATATGACAAGCAATTTCATAGCATTCAGTATTTGAAGTAAGTACTGTTACGGTTAGGAAATGTTGGTTTTGCTTGCCATAAGCATGCAATTTATACCTAAGCTTCTATTCCTTTTTGGACATTTTTATTCCAGGGAGGAAGATGCTCATGGATTTAGAAAGTAATAGTATGCTATTGAACAAATAGGGATTCTACATAGAATAATCACTAAAATGAAGAAGCCAAAAATAAATAATAATAGTCACAAGAAGTTTTAAGTCAAAAAGCTTTGCGAAGTTAGAGTTTCAGCTAATTTAAATAAAAAAAACAAAGTTCATACACAACAAACGAAGGCCATGTCAAACATGAGTGTCTTTTTGCAAATGCAGAGTCTCCATTTGGCCAAGTATGAAGGCCACTGTGTGTTGACGAACTTCCCCCATATGTTCCCTCAGTGAATTAAGTTCACTGTATGCTGCCTCCAGTTGTTGCATCAGGAATTGGTTCTGACGTTCCAGGTGCTGCTGAACCTGGAGAAGCAGTTGAATACAAGCAATGGAGAAAGAATTATTCATCTGAATAATAGAGACAGAAAAACATGCAAAAATGATAATATGGAATTATAATCAAAACCTATTTTCACATTAAAATTCATGCAAAATAGTTCTAAAAAAATGTGAAGCAGTAGGAAATGAATTCCTATATTAGTTAATGAGAGTAGACCACATGCATCTGGGCAGCAGAAAAGCGAGTTAGGAAAATGCAAGTAATGGGTGCATAGGGAATAAAAATTTGTGAGAAAATACATGTATCCTTATTTTAGATGTCATAAAAATATATTGTTTGAGATGTGGAGGGGTCTTTAACATTTATTTCAGTCTGCAGTGATCTTTTCTGTTGAGCTCCCATCATCAGACTGGTCAACTAATGGTTCTACACTACATTATACTCTCTAGGTTGCAGAACAAACATGATATCAGAACCCAGATTTATGCTTCAAAATTATTTTTATGCATTTCAATTCGTGTGCTTTATGAAGTATAAAATTCAAAATGCATATATCTCTCTAAGTAGAGTATACAAATGATATAAAATAAACACATGTAATAAATATATTCAGATATAGAATAGTAATTACAGGCAAAAAGATAAACACCGATCAACAGCTAGTCACTATAAGTGCAATTTTGATTCTTTGGTGCTAATCTCATGATTCGGTAAAGTTAATTCTTCAACTGAAAATGATATACTTAAAATTAAAATTATATGATTACAACAAAATAAATTATTGTTCAAGAACACATGAACTTTTGACATTATAAAGGCAAATTGCATATTGCATTTTACAATGCATGTATTTCACTTTGCTGTATCTGAAAAACTCTCAGAATGACCCATGGTTCCCAAAGTCACATTTTCTCTGCAGATTGTAGGTAGCATTCATTTTCACTCAGGGTCCCTAAAAGGCTGAAAACATAGGAATTGCAAAAGTATGAGGTACCTCATTGTTGTGAGCTTAAATACTGGGAATGTTTAATAGAAGAACTGAAATTAAATGTGAAATGAGCATCTGTTGCACAAAATATAATCATTTAAGGAAACATGATATGATTTTTTGCTTGACATGCAATAGTCATTATTCTCTTTTCACTTCGAGGTAACAATGAAAATGCAGCCATAAAAGGGTAGTACTTGAACTTGTAGATATGCATCTCTGGGAGAGCAATTCTCTTAAATTCCCTGGGGTTGCAGATGAAACTGCAAAAGATGTTCTCTCCCGAAAAGTGAGACTTATTATAACAATTAAATTATTGTCTACAAGACGTTTTCAAAGCAATTAGGGGAACAGGTATGGAAAAATAATGATGACATTCTTTTCATATGGCTAGAGCATGTTTAACTATAGAACTTATTTTCCTGGGAGGATAACGAACAAACAAGAATTTCTTCAATGCTTTTAAATCACACAAAGAATTATCGCTGGAGAGACCTTATGTTCCACTCATTCTGCAATGACGTCCCATGAGCTTTTGTGCTCTTCTTGGCATCAAACATTTAGTAAAAAACATGTATATTCTTAAGAAAAAAATTCTTACAATGTGATTCAACAATCAATTTAATTGTATAATATTGAAGTGAGTCAGAATTGTGTATATTTATTTATTTAAAAGCATTATTTCGGTTCTTTCAATCCTGGGCATGTATGGAAGGATTGAAAGAACTATATTGTTACCTAATAGATGAAAAATGTGCATAAATTTAAACTTGAAAATTGGGCGAAAAAAACATGAATATGTGAGAAGAACGTGTATAGGTAAATAAACTAATTATATATTGGTATATTTACATATACACGTTCTTCTCTCATATTCACGTTTTTTTTTTCAAATAAAATGGGATTCATCTGTGTGCTCAAGAATGAAGTAACTTATTCACTAATTGTTAAGGGTTCTTTAGTGACATGTTATTTTAAACTGTCCAAATAATATGAAGGAGATACTGCACTTTCCTTCTCAATTCAGAATAAATGATCTCTCTGAAGTCTTGAAGAATTTTTTGTAGTCCTTCATATGCCATGAAAGAATATTATAGGGAGATTAAGAACATATGTGCCTCTTTATAGTTTTTGTTATCTTGAAAAGAAAATTTTGTTTACTTGACCATTCTCA